TATCTACCTGTTGTATTCACTTAGTTAATTAGTTGATTGATTTTATTTAGTACTTTATACTAATTCTCCCTTTTTTTTGATTTTTTTTTTTAATAGATATAATTCCGAATCTCCGTGTGATTGTACCTTTAAACTCTACACGCAAAGCAAAACCAATGGCGTATTCAAGGGATCTGGCTATGTTATCGACTTCTTTAGTTGATTAATTTCTTTTGGATGTAAAGGCGAGTAAATTTATTAATTTTGAGAAATATTAATTATGAAAATATTTTATTATTCTATGCATTTTTTTTTTTTTAAAAAAAAAATACAAGAGCGAACCTAATTTAGTTCGAACCTAATTTAGTTCCTTTTTTAAAAATATTAGTCATTACAAAATTTTATCTAAAATCGAACCGTACAAATTTTATTATACAACCACATATAGTTTTGATTTATATTATATCGCAGCACAGCACAAATTGAGATATTCTATTTTAAACCCTTAAAAACCACATATCAAATCATTATGTAAAACTCAAATTATCCTCAATAAACTGGAAAAAATAAGAATAATTGATCTCATGGAACAGAAATTTAATAAATCTTTATCATCGTTGGGAACTTTTTCAAGATTAAACTTGTACTTATGTGACAAATAATGTAGATCAAGCAATATGTATATAAGGACTGTAAAGTTCACCTTTTCATATTAATCCTTATTCTTTTGTTTAATAAATATGTATTCACTTTAATACACGTACATGTAATCTTTTTTTTTATGGTTTACTTTTTCTTTACATCTGTTTTTTTTTAAGCTGAAGTCATTGATTGACTTTAATTAAGATAAATATTTCGTTCTGTACACACTTGTGTTCAGTTACTATGCCTATTTTAACCTTTTCGTTTTTGAAAGATTCCCAAACATGGGTTTCTTTCGTAGTTAAGTAGTTTTTTTCTTTAGCGTATTGATTGGCTCGCGCAAGAAGAGCGTTAAGAACGAGTCGGAAGATATGCTACCCTCCTTACTTGGAAAAGGTCCCTTGCCCTAGAGAGTACTAATCTTTATTTTACAGTAAAATTTAAATCTCTCGATGAGTACATCTTTTTTTTGCCCAGGTTGTGAAAGCTTGGTATAGTTTGTAATCTTTTATTAATAGTTTTTGGGTCACTTTTGGTATTGACGCCCTCGTCGTGTGACCTGGGTATTATTTAGTTATTTCTAAATAATAGCTAACGGATACCAACGTATGTAATTATTATACTAGTTGCGACTTTTTTTTATAAGGAACGTTGTCATTAGTTGCATGCTGATGTTTTTGTTGTTAGAGTCGGTAATGTAGTTTCGTCGTTCTAGCGATTTCATTATTAATAGAGACATTATTAGTGTGGTTTGTTAAGTTCATTGTGTTGTTTTGAGAGTTTATCTATAATGCAAAGTTTTATTATGTTTATTAGATTTTTTTATATAGGCTGTTTTGTTAGGTTTTGGTTACATAAAAATACAAAAAATTTCCAAATTACATTATTGATTACTTTTTTGATGTATTAAAAAGTTATCTCGCGCAAGGTATTTTTTTACGCAAGTCGTGAAATCGCAGATGCGACAGTTTCGTCATCTCGCGCGATACTTTCGTTCTTGTATAAAGAAATGTATGATAACGGCTATGAAAAAGTAGCTACAAACTAAGAAAATAAATACCTGTGCCATACATGTTAACGAAGATTTCATAATTTCTATGGGAAATTAGGAAATTATTTCTTTATCCATTATTAAGTTGGTCCACAATAACGTGCCAATTATAAAAATTTTAATAACCATTCACTCTAACCAAACGAACAATAATTTAATATAATTTATAGTTGAATCTCTAGCAGTATAGGTAACCCGCTCTATAATCAATACATTTTATTAAAGGGTTCACTTATACTACAAGAGATCCTTATAATTTATTAAGGCTCGAATTTTTAGACAATTAATTATGTACCATACTTATAAAAATTCCGAGTTGTATCTAATTTATCAAAAATTAATGAGTCTATATAATTATGATGATATACTGTAGTACAGAAATAAATCATTCCTTAATTAGTTTTTCCTTCATTTTTTCTTTGTAATCTTTGTAAATCTCTTTTTCTTTTTTAGAAATATTTCCCTTCCCATTTCCTCCATTATTCTTCGATTTTGTATTTACGACATTGTTAGTTCCAACCAACTTTCCAGTTTTTAACCATGTCTCGTAAGCCTGATATCTACTCTTTGCCACACTATTTGTATATTGATCCGATCCTACAGCTTGTAATACAGCATATTGTTTTGGTATAACTAAATTTTCTTCATATACTCTTTCATCCGTTAAAGGTACTTTTATATCTGTTAGTGGATTCGTCAAATTAGCACGTCGCATGTAAGCATTGTAAACGTGGTAGTCAGAATGACTGGTCAATGCGGGATCATTATTATCAGTTAGCGTTGGTGTTAGAACTAGATTTTTGTTTTGGTTTATGTATCTGAAACAATAATATGGATTAATATAGTAAATTTAATATAAAATTTCTAATCTTAAATACGTACTGTTTGTATTCTTTTGCTTCATTCGAAGAAACTGAAGGGCTTAAACTCTTTGAAACAATAGATTCCATTGTATTTAGGTTATATTTTTCTTTTTTTACTTTTTCTTTTTCTTCTTTTTCCTTTTCCTTTACTTCTGATTGAACCTCTTTAGACTTTGTGTTTGGCAATGAAGCAGCAAACCATTTTTTGACATTTCCAACGTTCATCAAACTGTTTTCCAAATTGTATATATTGTGTTAGGATTTACCAATATTTATAAATGTATTGATAAACTGAAGCTTACCGAGAAGCTTGTAGAGGTGTTACCCGAACTTTGAACGGACTTTCATCCACACTATCGACAAAAAAAAAAAAAAAAAAAAATTTATAGATTTTATAATAAAAAATGCAAAAGCAATGCCATTTAAATAAATCATACCCTAATGGAATATATTTCGTAGTAGTTTTCATGTCATACGCAAATAATTTTTCAAATGACGTGAAAAGTCGTGGACGATAATATTCAATCCAGTAGCCGGAGTATGGATCCGCTTCGTCGTCTTCAAACTGACGAGCTGTGCGAGGAGAAAGTTGATATCTTGCAGTATCCTGCTGTTGATCATTTTTTTGTAGAAAATCCTTACTCCACCAATAAATGTAACTAATTAAATAATAATTATATAAGGATACATATTCAATATATAATTTAAACAAAAAAGAAACAATAACAAATGAAATTGACTTATAATTTCTCAGGATATCATACCTTCTCCGTGGCTTTTTAAAACGAGGATCTTCATTATGTAAATAATAATCGCTTGTAAGTTCCCATAACATTGGCTTATCTTTTTCTGGTCGGAAGTTTCCGAGGAAAAGATTAATCGAATCCTGCTTTTCACCGTCTATATTTAGTAAGAATATGATAATTAATAACAATTAATGAAAATTATTTCTAAAATATACAGATAGTTACCACAAAGAGCGTTACTATAATATCTTCTCAAATTTTCTATCAAATCTCTAGATTGGTTGGAGAATTGATTTTTTCTCCGATAAGAATCGAGAGTGTTGACTAAATTCGAGCCACCATATTGGAAAGCAATAGTATCACCATGATCGTGGTACATGTCAGTGAGCATATTCATTACATCAGAATCAACAGGAACCCAGGGTTTGTCGATTATTCCAAGTGCATGTAGCTAATTTTAAATAAAACTCTATTGAGCATTGCAGTTTGTATTTAAAAAAAAAAAAGGATTTAAGAATTACATGCCTGATGGCCCAAAGCACATTTACCGATAATTAATTGTGCAGCATTGGTACGATCTAAACAATCAATACAATTTGTTCTCACAACACCACTTTGTCGCCTAAACATCTGACGTTTTTGTGGTTTCCCTTGGCTTTAAGATATTTTAAATTCAACATTATTTAAAATTTAAGTTAAAATCCTTGTAGGAAAAAAAAAAAAAAAAAAAACATACGTCTGTTCTCTATTCAAAACATTAACCCATGCTTCAGGACCACTATGAAAGAATCCGGTATCGACTAAGTATTTTTCTGCGAATCCTTCCATAATATCAAAGACGTCTTCATCACTACTAGATATCTATTAGATCCCATATAACTTCAATTTTTTTATTGAAGAAAAAATTATGATACCTTTTTCTGGCCTTTGACATATCCCAAGGTTGATATATGAGACTCTTTTCTGGTAAAAATTGAATCAAGTATTTCATGGCATCTGCAAATTCATCTCCCAAAATAGACTCACGAGGATTTTTTTCTTTTGTCTAAATGATGAAAACGCAATACATTCATAAGATTCAAAAATTTAATAATGCTTTAATATTATACAGCTAATCACCTTAATCAAATTCAGAACAATTATGGGTGCGCCATAACGTTTGAACATATTATCAAAATGCAACCCTGCAGCAGCGTAGAATGGATCTCGGAAGTTAACTAGTTAGTACAAATAATAAATAAATATTTAAAATATTGAGTGTGACAATAATGTTCCAGTCTATTTCAATAGCTTAATGATCATATACAAACTTGATATAGGCGGCTTTGGCGACATGTTTGTCACATCCTGAGACCAAAATAAGGGTATAGATCCACGATGTTGCACGTAAGATGTATAATTTGGATTATCATAAAGACGAGTCCCAGATCGGTGAAACGAAGTTGTGCTCATATCCGCTACTATCTGTTCAGTTTCCACATCATTTGCAACATAACCCTGAAAAGCAGTAAATACAAACATCAATATCGTAGTCATTAATATAATAAAAGATATGATAATCATTGGAATTATAAAATTAACTTGATCATTGACGCCACGTTTTAAAAAACGTGCACCAGCAAAGTATCTTGATCTTCGAGCAATCAATGTCACAAAGACGTTCCGTCCAAATATTGAAATTTCTAAAAAATAGTAAGCTTTAATATTACTTTTACTTTTTAAACGATTATATTTTGTAATTAAAGCATGTATACTTGATTGATCCACAAAGCCGTGAATTATCGGTAAAATCCAATCAGAATTGCTCTTAAAACTTCGAAATCCAGTTTCCAATAAATAGTGATTCCAAACAAACATTTCATTATATGAAAAATTTTTACGATTTGATGGACGAGTCATGTTATGCTGAAGTGTATGAGTAATATCATAAGTGTAGCTGAAATAAAAATTTTTTGTCAAATCTAAAATGTTGAAAATACTGTGGTATCTGATAAATAATAAATAGGAAATTGAAGAAATTAGCACATATAATGTAAATTTAATAATAGTTAGTTCTATGATCAAAATGTAGATTACTTGTATTCATCAGAATTTTTTTCAGGTTTTGTCTGCTGTCCAATTGGACGAAGAATAGTCTCGTCAATATGATATATATAATGGCCGCCAATCAAGGCAACAGCGCTTCTTTTTGTTATCAGTGAGATATAATAACCATCAGTAAATTGAACAAATCCTACAAAATATAAAATACACATGATTAAATTTCATTTCATCACTGTAATGAACCATTACTCATAATAGTGTAAAACTCACCCACAATCCCATAAGCTGTTAAGACATTTTTAAGTCCGCCAGAAACTCTATTACCTTCTTCAAGAAGAGTCAAAATGTCATTTATTTCTTGCTTCGAATATATCACATCGTCTTCAATTACATTAATTTCAGTAGGCGTCGTTCGATCAATCTTTAAAATACGAAACCGATTGTCACTTTGGTTTGATCCTACTATATAATAATTCTATTATCAACCAGTTTAGGATTTTTCATTTCATTAATAAATAGTTTTTTTTAACAAAATAAACAATAATAAAAATTATTATAATATAATTTTTTACCGTTTTTGTTTCGTATAATATAAATCGATTTAACACCAATCGATCAGACTTGTAATCCTCAGCATCAGAAAGTTCCGTAGAAGGAGGTGCAGAAGAATGATTCGACACTGATTTTTCTAATTTGCGTTTATCAAAAATTTCTTTTGTTTTCTCGACTAATTCCGAGTATGGTGGATTTTCTGTATTCGCTGGCATTTTGAAAGTGAACAGGTTTTACTGTATTAATCCTATATATTAAAAATTGAATCCATATATTGTCAAAATAAAAACGACTGTATTAAACTGAAATTAACGGAACAAACTTCACGAACGAAACAAGTGTAAGCAAACTAAACTCACGCTTACTAATTCACATTTTAAGAGGACTTATTTTTTTATATTAGAACCGAGTATCAAATAGTAAGCTCACCTTAATGCTTCTAAGCTTTCTTTCTTATATTTACGTGTCTTTATAAAACCAGGCAAAATAAATATGACGATAATTCTGTAATAATTGCTGGAGGTTCAAAATAACGAAATGTGGAATTTAATTGTCAGAGAAGCATTAGTAGAATTTATATAATTGTTGAATTTCCAAAAAACGCCATCGGGTCAGAACTCATGAATCACCTGTATAGGGGTCAACTTTTCATCAATACAAAAATTGCCAGTAATGGTAACTTAAGATTTGCAATTTTGTATATCAGATATCTTTAAATTACGCTTTTTACGTACGTACATACTAAATGCTAATAACTTTTTAACTTATATATATATATTGTCACAGCTTATGCGGAAATATGTTAAATTGCTTGAATACTTAATAGTTATCAGACAGGCACTGCTCACAGCTTATGCGGAAATATGTTAAATTGCTTGAATACTTAATAGTTATCAGGCAGGCATTTGGTCGATGATTTTAAGATCAGACTAAGAAATTGAATTCCGAAGGAATTCAATTTTTTAGGCTGACCTTAAATCCTAAAATTTGCTTATTGGTTTTATAATATAATTATTTTTTTTAAGTTTAAATAATTTTAAAATATATTTGTTAAAAAAAATTAATAATTTGGCTTGAAGTAGATATTAACATTTAATAACACTGCTCAAAAACTAGTTTACTCAAAAAATCCTTAAATACAATTAAAAATTTTCTTCGAATCTGTGGATTTTATTATACATGTCCCGCTAGGGTGTGCAATGCTATAATACAAAATATATATATAGTTAGGGTAATGTGTCGATCATTATTTGCGGATTTCGCTTATGGAATCCGCGGATAATTTTAGGTGTCATTCTAATAGTAAAAAGTGGAATTTTTAGATACATTTTTTAGCAAACTGGCTTTATTAATATAAACAATACAAAAACTAAATTGTATATATTAACTTGGGCTACAATCAAATAGAGCGATTTTTTAGATAATAATATTTTATAATTCAAAAAATAGATTTAAAAATATGTAGTTTTTTGATATATCAACAATTGTAAATAAAATTTAAATTAGCAATTTTAAAAAGAAAATAGCTCTATTAGATTAAAGAGAATGCTTTTATTTTTATGTTAAAAAAAAAAAAAACTATAATTAATCTCATTTTCTCAAAAAATGTATCTTTGTAAATAAATATATACAGTGCCCGACAAAAGTTTCCCCACACCTATATCTCCTCATAAAAAGGTGCTACGACCTTGAAAATTTCAGAAAGTTAGTACATACACAGATTAGATTGTGTATGTTGTTTGAAGATTTTTTAATTACTAGAAATAAATTTAGATGAGAACCAAAGTTGGGACATTTTTCATCTAAAAAAATAATTGTATTCAAAAAAAATTTAATATATCGTCAAGGCTAAAATTGCTAAAAATTAACAGATTAAACTTAAATGATTTCTGTATTAGTGGTAAAAAATTTGACTCAATTTGATGAGATTATTATTGAGAAATTAATTTTTAAAGTTTTTATTTTAATTTGTTGAGACCTGACTCTTTTTGTATTGCACAATGTTTTTCATGAATATCTCGTGTTCTAATGATTTAAATTTGATGATTTTACTATCATTCAAATTGTCTCGTTGAGATAATTCGAATGATACCAAAATCATCAAATTTGATTTACTAGATATCGAGATATTTTTGATTACTTTGTAATTTTTAAAAATGAAACTCAAATTTTAAAAAATTAATTTCTCAACGATTATCTCATCAAATCGGGCCAAATTTTTTATTACTAATATGGAAATCATTGAATTTTAATATGCTAATTTTTGGAATTTTTAGCTTTAAGCTTTAATAATGTATTAATTTTTCTTTGTATTCAATTAATTTTTTCATTTTTTTAAAAAAACCATCCCAACTTTAGCTCTCATTTAAAAAATTTTCTAGTAATTAAAAAACCTTTTTAAAAAACACACGATCTAAGCTACATATGTACTAATGTTTCTGAAAGTTTCAAGGTCGTAGCACCTCTCTATAAGAAGATATAGATGCGGGGAAACTTTTGTTAGGCACTGTATACGACTATTATGAAGATAATTAAAATTCGAATAAGTAATATTTAACTCAAATCAAAAATTTATTTAACTCAGATCAGTAATTTAGTATTTTAACTCAGATCAGTAATTTAATATTTATCTCAGACTATGAAAAAAATTTATATAAATATTAAAAAATCCGCAAATAATGATCGACATACAGTATATTACCCTAACTATATATCAATATATTATAGCATTGCACCAGGGCCAATGATTTACTGCAATCACAGAAAACAGCAGAATTTTCCTTAAAAACAGCTAACCACGGAAATCAACTCTGGTTATCACAGGATACCACAGAATTTAAAATAATGGCACAGAATTTCAAAATTAGAAAGTTTCTTACAGAAATTTATAGTGATAGCCCAAAAACAGTATAGTGGCTGTTGTGCTTCAGATGCAAATCGGCTCAGTTGTCAATCGGGACGGCCCAGATGACAATTTAATTTTGGGCTATTGATTTTGCCCCAAATGCAAATGGTAGATCATTATAGCATTTACAAATAAATTGACCAATCAAATTATCGTGTATATTATTAAATTAAATAATTATATAGTATATTATTATAACTAATATAAAACCATTTACTTAATACTACAAAACATCTTAAAATTTATTGTAATTATTTAAGCAATTATATAGTATATTAGTTAGACTAATGTAGTATAAAATAATTCTAATTATTTTAATATTGAACATTATTTGGATGACAATGAGTACTACAAGTTGCACCTGCTTTTTTACATTTACAATTATTTTTTTTACAATTCCCTTTGCAAAGACATTTTGTAGCAATTATAGATCCAGAGCTTTGTTGGATAGCAGCTTCACAGGCACTAACACAAGTGTCGGGAATAACTGCAAGCTCAGGATATTCTCTAAAAGTTCTAGTAACAGGAACCAATTCAATAGCTGAATAATATTCATTCAACCTTCCATACTGGCATCCTAAAACATATGTATTATTTTCAGTAATTTCCAATACTTTACAAGGTATGTATCATCGATCAACACTAGCACGATCAACTTCTGAAATTCGAATTTGCACCAAATCATTTGGTTCAAATCTACGTGGGTGTTTCCTCCCTTTTTCCATTTGTACCCTTATTTTTTCCGTATAAATCTCCAAATGTTTAATAGCTTCGGCTTCAATGACATTTTGAGTTGCATAAAAAAACGGATATGAACAAGAACCCTGATTCTTAAAAAAAAAAAAAAAAAAATTAGTAAATATACGTTTGATTTTATGATTCATATTGATTCAATGCTTAACATTTGTGTGGTCATATCATTCAACAGAGGTCTCTGGGTAATAAATAATAACAATATTTTAAAAAATCTATTAATATCTACTTTTAATGCTTAATTATACTTACCATATTTTCTACAGTGCTGGATGGTAGCGGCGAAACCTAAAATTTCAAAGATAAGTGTAAGTTATTATTTAAAATTAAAGTATTATTTTTTTATTAAATACTTACCGTATTTGCTATTATATTAGGTGGTGGCAACGGCAGTGGCAGCGAAAACTAAAACTCAAGGATAAGTATAAATTTTTTTGTTTTTTTGTTTTTTTTTTTACTAAATACTTACCGTATTCACTGGCAAATTAGATGGCAGCGACGGCAGCGAAATCTAAAGTTTCAAATTATGTTCAGTTAATTTTTCAAAACAAAATATGCATTTATTATTTATCTCTTACCACATCCTTATTAGATGACAACAATGACAGAACCTAAAATTTTAAAGTAAGTATAAGTTGGATCTCTCAAATTTAGTATTGATAATTAATTAATTGATTTTTTACCACACTCTCATTAGGCAACAATGCGGCGAAATCTAAATTTCTAAAAAAAGAAGTGTGTAAATGGTGAACTTTCTATGTTTTTACTATTAAATTATCATTGTCATTTCTTATTCGAAATATTATTTCTTACTAATATTTACCATATTCTCGTTAGGCGGCAACAGCGATGAAACCTGAAGATAAGTATAGTTAATTACTTTCAATTTGAAATAAATTTATAGTTCTGTATTTACCATATTCTCATTAAATGATGGCAGTGGCAAAACCTAAATTTCAAAAACATATAAGCTGTTGTGTTTATAAATATTAGTTCTTATTCAATACCTACCATATTCTCCATAATATTATATAGCGACAGCAATGCTGAGATCTAAAATTCCGAAGAGAAGTATAAGTATAATCATTTTTCCTTTATGGTATCATTTTCTAATTCAATACTTACTATATCTTTTTCCACATCAGGCAACAATGAATTCTAAAATGTTTAAGTATGAGTAATTTAGATTTAATGCTTAATTTCAGTTATCATTCCTTATTAAATACTTACCATGTTTATCATGTTGGGTGGCAGCTGTGGTAAATTCTAAAATTTTAGATAAGTGTAAGTTTAATTTCGATTAAAGGCATCTTTTTTTTTAATTCTATACCTACTATATTTTTTATTAAATTGGGCAGCAGCAGTGGTAGCGACGACAAATCCTGTGCATTTTTTTTTTTATTGAAGTAAAAGCAATCCCTTAATTACAATTATCATTAATTCTAATATTTACTATCATACGAGTCGGAAGCAGCAGTGATGATGAATTCTGAAAAAAATTTTTTTTGTTAAAAGTAAGAGCAATCCCTTATTACAATTATTCTTAATTCTAATATT